CCCTCCCCCACACAAACTACCAACCTATCCCCTCCCCCACACAAACTACCAACCTATCCTCTCCCCCACACAAACTACCAACCTATCGCCTGCCTCACACAAACTACCAACCTATCCCCTCCCCTCCCCAACACAAACTACCAACCCCTCGCTTTGCCCTCAAAAGCAAACTAACAGCACAACTCCTCTCATTATCACCCTGCAAACCTTACCCCTAATCATGCAGCTGTCTAAGAACCTGTTCATATTTGGCAACATAAAAAACTACGTACTTGAGAGGGTTGTGGATGAATTTTCTTCTCATTGCATACACTGCCTTGACGACTTGTTCTATAACAACATAAGGAGCAGAAATAAGGGGGACTGGACGAGGAACCAGGTGAATCAGCGATGCATCAACCTGGACAAATAATAAACAATGGAAACTGATCAGAACATAATTAGAGTGGAACACTTAAGTAAAGGCACATGAAAGAGGATACAATGTTGTAACATGTTGCCCACTTATAAAAAAGCATCGAAAACAAACTTCAAATTTAAGAATCAATACTCTGTAACAACCTCTTGGCTAACTCACAGACCAAAGAAGGATTTAGTGTGATGATATATTTAACAATTATTCACTGAAGGCGAAGTGATTTTCAGTAGGATATTTTCCAAGCTGCAGGTCTTCAAGCAGCGAGGTACTGTAAATATCACCATAATCATTGAGCCTGAGGGGATTTATTGTTTATTGCATAATATTTTAGACTTGAATATCAGAGAAAAGTCGAAATTCAGGATAAAAAAACGTTTTAGTTACTTCTGATCTGGACAACTTTCATTGGGAAACCTCATAATCACTGCTCGAGCAGTGATAATCATCCCAGCATCAACAGTGGCTCGACCAATCACAGCTCAAGAAACTCTATGTTCAAGTCTAAAATTATACTAATATTAAATAGATGACAATACAATTGGCTTTCCAAGGTTGCATGGAATACTGAGAATGAGTAGTAAGCACGCTGATTCATGGGGCTGTATTAGACGTCATTTATCTTTTTCATTTCAGGTTTAAGTCTTCAACTCAAGTCACATTTACTTTGGTTATCCGTCTATTTTTCGAGAGAGTTTGCTAAGCTTTTCCCCTTGATTTGATGAGGATGCATCCTACTTATTACCTGTTTTCCATGTAATCTCGGAAAGGCCAATAGGCTTATTTGTTTGTTCCTTCATTCATTTTGTATCATCAACACTACCACCATCACCATCCCCATCACCATCGCCACCACCACCACCACCACCACCATCACCATCACCATCACCATAATCATCATCATCATCATCATTATATCTTACTCAACATACCTTGGGTTTGGGTACGAACACAGAGTTTGGCAGATGGTATTTCTTTTTAACTTCACATAAATACTGAACCATTATAGTCAATCGTGATCTGTCGTAGCTACCAGAGCTTGCAACAATGTTCTATCAAAATCAAATATGAAGATCATAATGTTAGAGATTACTTGTTATTTACTGAGGAAGATTTGGGTTGAAGAAGTTAAAGCAACCCCTCTCTTGGATAAACGTACTTGCAGCTAGAGGGTGTCAGACCTCAGGGTCTGCACATGGCCAACCCAAAATCCTACTTTTCATTGACTGTTCTTGTTTCTCTAGCATTCATTCACTTATTTTCCTCTTCCCCAATTAATAGCATGAAAAAGTGGGTCTAGAATAAGATATTCAAAGATAGATACCTCATCTGCAATCTTTTTTTAAAAAAAGCCCTCCCCTATTTAAAAGTCAGAGGGATGCCCTCCTTTCCTGCTAGCGGAGCCTATTTGCCTTTGATATTAATTGGGAGGGGGGGGGGGGAGGAATAGACTAAGGCCAATGTAAGCCAATGTACGTACTGTATTTATTGTGCATGTGGGGGTAACTTGGCAATGCTGTCAATCAATACTCCATTTTACAGTTTCATTCAGTGACCATGAATAATAGTTCCAAGTCGAGGTTGGAGTTGCCGCGCATGATAAACTATAGTTTTGCTATAGTGTAACTGTAAAAAGAAGTATTGATAGCCACCACATTGAATTACATTTGGTCGTACACATTAATGTGTATCCAGTAAAAAAATGTTTAAAAACTGGTTTTGTTCATCCACGATCATGGACAGTAGTATAAACATGTAGGGTCAAAACAAAGGTCCCACCTTTTCAAATATCAGTCATGTATTTTCATGTATTTGAATAAAGTATTATTTTTATTAGAGTTTTCCTCCTTCCCACCTAAAGAAGGAAGAGAAAGAGAAGAGACTCTGCTCTCAGGGAACTGCCCTCCTCTCCCAAAAAAGTAAAAAGGTTAGATAGATACCTCAGCAACTTCCTTCTGAAATACAAGTGACATAGGTGTCCTTCCAAACTTGAATGGGCCTGCCTTTTGTGGAATAGCCTCTAGCCACTGGAGCAGCAAGGGGATTGACACAGAAAATGGCAGATTACCAACCATCCTTACTCCAGGAACAACTAGAATGAAATGTGATTTATGTTTCTTCAAGCAAAAGCTTTTCTCGCAAAAACATTCATTCACCTGGGTTGAGACCATTCTATACAAAAACATTCCAAGCTCCAGGGGGATTCAAACCTGTGACAGACTCGTACCCAGTCGTCATTTGTTTCACGCTTTTTTTATGCACAGTGGCTTTTGGGAAGGACTGAGAAAAAGTGATGCACCATGAACTCACTAAATTCTTCCCATCAACCACAGCATGAGATCAATAAGACAAGAGAAGCTATCTCAGATTCAGTTTGATTGAACTCTGCATCATTAACCTTCCCATCTTTTTCTTATTGCTGAGTCTATTCATTTCATTACTTTTGTTAGTATTGTATTTTCCACGCATGCTTGTCATCAGCAGGTTTGTTGCACAGTTATGTGCAATTAAGAGAGCATGCTCACTTTGTGACCAGTTATGAGTTTATCAAGTTATGCACATGCATGCTGCAGGCTCAATTTATGTCAGCCACAAGATTTTGTGTCTTTATGCCCGAGCTCTATTGTCCAGGTTTTTGTATCTGTTATTGATTTACCTGCTAGTGTAAAACTGCTCGGCAATGGCAGCCATGACAGGAGGCATAACGATAGTATCTTTTCCCCTGGGAAACTGAATCCTTTCTAATGTAAATCACATTAGACCAGATTCAATTGTTCCTGCCTCCTGTCATGGCTGTGCCATCACGTGATGGTGCAAAGCCTCTATAGAGTATCTTACTAATGATGTCTTCTTAAGCAATATAATAATTATACATGCATACTGTATATACAGTACCTCCAGGTTCCCATGGTGATGGTTCCGTGTCAGGGAATGCTGAGGGGATGTCAAACTTCATGATATCAGCATGATAAACAGTCATTCTGCCTTTTGCCGCATCTTCAAGAAGCTGTCAATGAGAAGAAACAACAGTAATTAATGACACATGTGTAAGATTAAAATAGTCCAACATGTAGTGGATGCCATTTTGTTTAAGCAGTTCTGCCTTACAGAATAGACCTATCCCGAATTCGCTTGACTGGTCATGAAACAATGGTTTCGAGTCGAGGTTGAACTTGATGAATAAAAGAATCAAGTTCAGTCTTGACTTCAAACTATTGTTTCGTGACCAGTCAAGCGAATTCAGGATAGGTCTATTACCATGGGTCCATAACAGAAAGACATTATTTTTGGTTGCAGTATTTGAAAGAAGCTTTTGCCCAACCAGACTGGCTGCATGTCAGGTCAATCCTCGTCCCTGATCTGACATACAGTATGACAGCCTTATAGAAAAAAATATTAGCAGCCTTGCAATCAGTGAGTGTGTTATATTTAAAATATTTATAATTTCAGTATAATTTTAGACTTGAATAAATATAGTTTTGCTCCCTTTGATTGGTCAAGCGACCAGTGATTCTGAGACGATAATCACTGCTCGAGAGGTGATTATGATGTTTCCCAAAGTTTGCCAGACACTGTATTCTAGTCTTTAAATGCCTCTGATATTCAAGCCTTAAAATTATACTTAAACAGTTATTCCCCTCAGGCTCATTGAACAGGGGGAATATTTACATTGCCGCTCAAAGACTCACAGCTGGGTATATATTTGCAGATAATCACTTTGCTTCCAGTGAATATAAATAATCACCTGTAGTGATGGTAGGAATCTCTTGTCCAGTTCCACAGCAGCGACATGCCTAGCACCAGCTTGTAACACAGACCTTGTAAGCGAACCTGGTCCAGCACCTACTTCACATACATAACAGTCAAAAACATCTGCAACCTTGGCTATTTTATCTGGAAAAGAAACAATTGACATATCATTTATGGGTAGTATCGCTGTCGTCTTTTTACCACTGAGTCCATACGGGTCTGGTCGCTTGTTCGAGTCCTGATGTTGCTACCTGAATTGAGTTCATTTGATGTGTTGTTCTCTCCTATGCTATGAGGATTTTGTCCGGGTTCTCTGGTTTCCTCCCTCTGTATACATCAACATGTGAGTTGAGCGTTGTGTGCATAGAACATCGAATGTAGTGGTAGTGTGTGTGAGTGAAAAGTGTCCCCAATTAGTGCGAAAGCGCTAGAATGACTAGACACTTAATAAACATATTATTATGATAATTATTTATTATTATTGAATTTGTATGACAATGACACCACTGTTTTATCCCCTAACTACTATGTGTCGTGCTTCTAATAACACTTCTCTCGTGTTGCCAACCCCACAGGCTTTATATTAAGTGAACAGAACACGTGCACGCGTCTTTAATAGTAAGCTAGCTCAAGCACTAATTATTGATATAAGTTTTAAGTTACCAAATTTTAACAGAATATTATAATATTAGATTGTGAATATTCTTCATTTGGGGGGAGCTGCACAATTTCATACAGAGGTACATTGTATAATTTTCTTACCAACCTGTAATATTGAGGTCAAGGATAAAATTTTGACTGAGTTGTTTCTGCGCCGACAGCCCATAAACACGAAGCAAATCCGACACTTTAGGCATCGGAGGAAGTCGAACTATCCTAGAATGAGCCATTTTCGTCTTTTTTCCAGCAGAATTTTTGGATATTATTGAAGTTTAATGAAGACAAAGACAAACAGTATTTTTATCTTTTTCGTCCGCCATGTTGAAATATTGATACCGCTGATGAAAAGTTCTGGAACAGGGGCTCATACCACAGGAGGCCCGTACAAGATGATTTTTTTTGTCTCCAAAAACACCAAATTTCATTAAACCTTGTTTTCCTTGTTGCATTTTGCTTTGTACACGCTTAATTTTTTTGCCGAGTCGCTTTATCTGATTTTTATTGCTTGTACAAAGTTTCCTCAAGGGTTTTTTACTACATTTTTAAAATATAATTAATTCTTATTAAAAAACTTGACGAGAACACCTAACCCCAAAACACGTTAAAGTACATGTGGAAACTGCTTTATCAGGGCAGATCCAGGATTTTATTCAGGGAGGGGTGCTGCGCACAAAGTTAACTCAGGGAGAGGTGCATCCCTTACAACCAAAGGGGAAAAAAACAGTATTGGTTATCTTCGAAGTAGGGGCACAAAGTTGAACCAGAGAGGGGTGCGCACCCCCTGAACCCCTCACCTGCTTTATACACAGCAAGGGTCCACTACCCCCCCCCCCCCCCCCCCCCCCCCCCGCCCTACACACACATACATCACGACCTCTCCTCCTGTGAGAATCTAACAAACGCATGCCAAGCAGGAAGGCTCAGTATCCTCATCACGTCACAAGGTCACAGGGCACGAAGCAACACAAAATCGTTTACTAGCGCTCAGACTTTGTAAGCGATCTTGGCAGGGTAGGAAAATATCAAGGAGTCGCTTCAGGTAAGCCCGTATCATAAGCTTTTATTAATAAACAAAAAGCATGCAAACACCTCTGCAGCCTCCAACACTATCCCAGTCCGAATTCTCCTTTTCTACAAGATGTCTTGGAGTTTTACTATAAAATTATAAGACGGCTTAAAAATCGATTCAACGCAGACTAGAAAATGCTGTCGAGAAAATAATCTTTAAATTTGGCGTTTGTTACAGCAAAAGATATCTACGTCTGTAGAAAACCAAAATTTTTTACTTAGAGAAATTAATATTTATAGATAGGAGTAAAACTTCTTAACGAGGTATCTTTTTCCTTGACTTGCATAGAAAATCTCTATTTTCTATATCTCCCTATGTGACTTAAATTTGGTACGATTCATACTTTTATAATTACTCTTTATGAACCTTACAAGTCCATGAAAATCACGTATACTACAAATAAATGTCTATCTTCATATACATCAATTTTTGCAATTTTGACTCTCTGAGAAAAGTCTTTTTGATTATATTTTCAAATTAAATAAACTAGAATATCATCAATAGACGGAAGTTAAGATGTACAAAATGCATTTGAACCTACAAAATGCATTTGAACAATCAAATTTGGGTTAATCTCTACGCGAAAATCCTAGTGATATAAAATCGCATGGACTCCTCGTTAAAAACAAACAAACGCCTTTGTGTCGTGACAGTTTACCAACTAGGACTTCAAAGTAAAAACAATCTTTGCAATCAATTAATCATGATTTTTCTCATATCAAGATAGTCAAAATATTCTGTTAAATCTATAGCATCAAATTTTAGCTTTGGTACCGAGTATGGTACTACTATGTATTACGTAATTCAAAATTTACTCTAGGTCTTACGTAACTCTGTAATTAGATATTTATGTCAAAGTTGAGTCGGAATTTAATACTACACTAATTTGATATTGGTGCGCACGTTCTTTTCTTTTTCTTACCTTTTCATTTCCTATTAATATTATTTCTTAATATTCAGTCTTTTATATCATCTTGCATTTTTTGCTTTCTTTTGTTTTGCTTTCCTTTCCTTCTCTTTTTCTTTTCTCGTTCCTGTTCTTACATTCCTTCCTTCCTTCCTCCCTCCCTCCCTCCCTCCCTCCCGAATCGTAACCTATGTGACCTCGCCCTCTGTCTTCTCGTATTTCAAAGACATTAATTCCACACGCGTATCAAATCGTACAATTTGCTATCGCAGCAAAGTAGGTTTTGGTGGATGTAACGGCACAAGTGTGCCTCAGCCGATAATCGACCAGTTTATAGATGAATTATAGTAGCGTTATTTAGGTTACCAGAAATATACCTTTTGTGTAATACGATATCTTGGCGTCCCTTGTATTTTAGTGCTGATTTTAGGATGGAGATTAAAGGCCTTTTTCAGTTCGACTGTGATGACGCCAGCTAACGTAAGAGGGCCTCGAAAACTATCGAACGAATAAGACCTTGACAACACACGAGAAAATCTACACATGTAAAGCTCTCTCGTTCAAATCTTGAACGCCTTTAATCTCCATCCTAAAATCAATACTAAAATACAAGGGACGCCAAGATATCGTATTACACAAAAGGTATATTTCTGGTAATCTAAATAACGCTACGATAATCATCTATTTAACTGATCGATTATCGCCTGAGGCACACTTGTGCCGTCACAGTGGACGTCAATCAAGGCGTTTCCATGACATCATAGGCATGTGCCCTTGAAAACTTTGTGTTTCCTGCGAAAGGGAACAGCAAGGGAACACTTTGATTGACATCCCCCAAAACCTTATTTTCGCGCGACAGAAAATTGTACGATTTCGTGCGCGTGATTGAGAAGCGATGTAATTTTCCCGTTTCAAAATCATCACAAAGACTATTTGAATAACGTATTATTAATATTCAAAGAGATCTATAATTGGTTTCCACAAGATCATGGTATGAGTCACTACTTGTATTGAAGAAAGATGTCGAGTATTACATAAGATCGTTAATTGATGTTCTCTAGAAAAATGGCTGAAAAACAAGCACTGGACCTGCGATTTGGATGGGGAAGGTTCCGACCCTCATGGCTTCAGTTTATGAACCATATCAATGGTTTTATGGTGTTCTTGACTATCTACTCTATGACCCAAGGTAAGACAAGTTGAATTCTTGTGTGGTGTGTTGCAGGGTGGTGGTGGTAGTGTGTTGTGGTGTGGTATGATGTGGGGAGGTGTGGTGTGTTGTGGTGTGTTGCAGGGTGGTGTGGCCATGGTGTGGTGTGGTGGTGGTTGTGTGGTGTGGTGGTGGTTGTGTGTTGTGGTGTGGTATGATGTGGGGAGGTGTGGTGTGTTGTGGTGTGTTGCAGGGTGGTGTGGCCATGTTGTGGTGTGTTGCAGGGTGGTGTGGCCATGGTGTGGTGTGGTGTGCTATAGTGTAGTGTGGTGTGGCATGATGTGGGCAGGGGTGGCATGGTGTGGTACTCGGTGTGGTGTAGTGTGGTGTAGTGTGGTGTAGTGTAGTGTGGTCTGGCGTGTCCATGTTGTGGTGGTGGTGTTGGTGATGGTGGTGTTGGTGGTGGTGTTGGTGATGGTGGTGTTGGTGGTGGTGGTGTTGGTGATGGTGGTGTTGGTGGTCTTGGGTGGTATGGTGTGGTGTGGTGTGGTGTGGTGTGGTCTTGGGTGGTATGGTGTGGTGTGGTGTGCATGGTGTTGTGTGGTG